TATAGTTCGTAATTTTAACTATGTAGGTACTTATTTGTTGTATGATTTGTTAAAACTAAAAAGTAAAAAAAAAGTAATTCAGATCCCTTTTATCTATTTATATTGAATAATAATTTTTTTCAGCCAGTCGACCAGCTGTCGACTGTGACTATAAACGGCTATAACTTGCTACTGCCCACGGGCCAATCAATTTTCCCAAAAAATGTTGCAGATGTAGCATATGAATCTTCTGCTGTACCCGTGCGCACGCCCATGATTCAATTCAACATTATATTTAAGAATAGTTAAGATGGCACAGTAACTTCACAATGTTACATTAATTTTAATTGCATTTTTGTACTGATTTTATTATTATTATAGTTATTATTAAACAATATTTAAATAAATGTGTACATGTGTGTGTGTCTATAATATACTTTTTACCATATATATTTTATAATGATAAATAAACCAATTTACCTACGTCAATTAAAAATACAACACATGTTAACGTTAACATATAATTTAGTACTGCAAACATTAACTGATGGAGCATTGAGTAATGAATCATAAATATTAAGAAACATATAAAGGTCTTATATTTTATATGTATATAGTTATTTTGTTTAAATTATCTGAGAAATAAATTTATTTATTTACCAAAAAAAATATTAAGTAAGATTAACATCTAGTACCTATATACTTACGTTTATTTTAAATTAAACAATCATAAATACTGAAATTGCTATTAAAAAAATACGCAAAAGCGCATGCAAACGACGTTTATTATATTCAAATGATAGACTAAATTATAACATTTTTTCGTTATAGTAGAATGTATTAATTAATGCGATGTACCTACTATATTATACCTTCTGTTTTTATTACCTACATGATTAGCGGATTAGGAAAAACATAGGTAGGTACCAACGCTATCACCATAAACCATGCACAAATTAACAATATGGAAAATCCACCCTGTATATATATTATTATATTTAATACGACAGTTTTTATAAATTATAAATGGTCAGATAAATATTTTATCGAAGAAAAATTGAATTATACAATGGATTAGGTAAATGTTTAGATTGTTATGGACTATGGTACGTAAAATTAAATAATATATTATACTAACAATTTGATAAAATAAAGATAGACCACGATTTCTATTAAAAAATGTCTATAGTTAACTACACTCTATCAAATCGATTAAAGTTAAATGTTAAGTTACCTATAAGTGTTACTGTATACGAATTTAGAAGTTAGATCCTAAAAAGGGAAATATATGTTGAGACAACCGAATTTCGTACCCAACGGTACAACTATATTAGTGCATACCTAAAATTGGATGGCATTTTATATAATTATTTCTGCAATCTAAATTACAAGCGGATAAATTAACTAATTATTTTTTAAATTGTAATACATAATTCCCTATTTAATAATAACAACAAAACATGCAAAATTCAAAATTCATATATTTAGAATTGGGTAGCTATACTTATATAATAATTGATTTTAAATTAAATATTACTTGAGAAACATTTTAAAGAGTAGACTTTTTAGTCACGAACCAATAAATTATATATCAATACCTATAGTTTATCATTTGGTTTTCATCAAGTTTTTCACAATATCGTATTTGATTAATACATATTTATGATGTTGTACATACTATTTCATACAACAATTCAATATATTCACTCACTACCTACTAATATTTTATCTTAGATTGACACAAAATTGAAAAGTGTAGACATGTTCAATAATAACGACGTGGCAAAATGTTATATGTATGTATATCCTTATAAGTAATATTAAACAACCTTGTGTATTGAATTAATTAAATTAATTTTATGTTGTCAATCATTTATCAGTTTTATGTACATTATAAGAAATATATATATATATTATATACTCATATACCTATATATTGTTCATATATACATTTATGTATACAGTATACTTAACGTGCTGCTTACGAAGTGATTTGTGATTTCTATTTTTCCACACTTTTACAACATTTTTTTTTCATTATCATTATTTACATTTATTTGGACACTTTTGTCTAATAATAATTCATAATATATTATAATAAAGGTATACCTAATATTAATGTTAATCAATCACTGGTTGGTTATTTAATATACATATCATATATGCATGGCACTATAATAACGAATGTCTATATTTATCTGCAGATGCGTATTTATTATACACATGTAATCCTTGGGCTTACAATTACACAAATACTTCCAAAGATTTTTAGTTGCAGCTAATTCTTATGTATAGATATTTAAAAATAGGTATTTATTATAATATATAGGTAGGTGCATATAATATAAAATTAACAGCTAATTTAGATATTTATATCATACACTAAAAGCCACAAAAGTTTTGTACATTGTTTTTTTTTACTAGAAAATGTTTTATTTATGGGTGGTAAGTACCCACTATATAAACGCATTACCAAATTATTTCATAATAATATCGGTATCCATTCAGTTTTGGTTATGTCAATTAGTTGATTCACATTTTGTAATAGGTGCACTTGTAAATGTATTGAGTCCTTGGTTCGACACCAGCTAATTGGTGATTTAGACATTATAAGACATAGATAAACTGCACTTTTATTATTGGCAAAACTAATTATCCAATTTTACTAAACTTAGCTTACTAATTAAATGTATAAGATACATATTTCAATTCATTAATCTACTCATTAGTATAATAAAATATACAGATTTTTCTTGATTTGTAACCCACATATTATTGTGCTACTGCATATTGTAAACATTTTGATCAAATAATAAATGAGGTTGTCTTAATCAATCAATGATTTCTAGAATTAATATTTTTTAATGATTTTAAGTCTTCCATTAATTACATTGAAGAAAAACACTTATCATTTTGATTAAAAATAGAAATATATAGATGTTATAAATGTTATTGTGTTTTTTAAATTGTGTAATAATAATACATTAGGTAGTATCTTGAATTTAAGTTAATCAATATTTGTCTGTATATTTTTTGAATTGAGATATTAGATAATATATAGGAACACTATAATGTCCCATGTTACATGTATGCTGTAGATATATGTGGTTTTTTTTGCAGTGCAATTTTTGAGGAGCTCATTTATGGGCATTTTTTTGTGACATTGGGACAAATTACATTACAGAATATAAATACTTTTTTTTATTTCAGGGGTATTTAAATGTCTTGAATATCATTCCAGTAATTAAATTCCGTAAATACCTAATGAAAAAACTTTTTTTAAACAGTTTTTCTTTTTTGTCGCAGTAAATTATTTTATACCATTATTATATAATATATGTATATAACTGTATACCTACCTACATTATTTTTAGCTAGTAATTATGTTAGTATTTACTTAAAACGGAAGGAAGTTGACAAAAACGACCGTAATTAAACATTTATAAGCGGTTTTTACGTTTTTTCTCCAGTCCTTCTTATTTTTTCATAATTATATTGTTAATAATTTATTATTAAATAAAAATCTATTTAAAAAAAAACTATGCCGCTTATATAGCGACTATGACTTAAGACGACGACTGTTGAATATAGTGAACAATTCAATGGTAAAACAATGTATTAATCAAGATATTTATAATTTTTACTGGTGTATCATTTATTATAAAATAAATTGTAAATAGAAATGCTTAAGTAATTATTTTACAGCGACGCATTTAGGGATACAAAATAAATATTGTGTTTTTAAATTAGTGTTTTATAGCTTTTTATATGTATACATATATACCCACCTAATATCTGTGCAATAATGCATTGTATATTTTCAGCACACAAAAATGGATAATACGTATTATTACCTCTGCAAAATAACTTAGGAATATATTTCTATAATATATGTACATCCGTACACATACCTACGTCATTCAATGTGACAATGTATTTAAATTTTTATGAAATAGCAATTGACTATTGAGTCTAACTGTCTGTGTATTTTCTGATATTATTTGCAGTCAATAGTAAAGTGATATAATAGTTATAGCTAAACAAGCTAAATACATTCTTGTATTAATTGGTGGGTAATGGATTCGAAACTGCTTTCCAAAAAGTAACATGATTAAAATCCAAACATAATATTAGGTATTTATTATTTATTAATTTGTCTATGCAAATTATGGTTTTAATTATTATCTTTTTTTCACGCCATTTTTATCAAATTTAACTTAATTGCTACGGATTTTATATTTTATCCAGAGTTATTTATAACAACGTGTTGAAGTTCATAGGTACCTTATTCATACATGTGAACAGCTATACCTATCTACACAAAATTTAAATAAAAATAGGATACCTCTTCTACAGATTCTTATAAACATTAATACAGTACCTACAATTGTACATGCCTACCTATATATATTATCATTAATTAGTTGTATTGTATGTTTAATATAGTTATAGATTTAGTATAGATTATACCTAGGTATCTGGTAAAATATAGTAAAACTATGTGTATATTATACGTCCTACAGAATAGAAACGTGTATTTAAATGATGTGATTTATTTATTTTGAGATAAAAAAACTGTGGATATAGCAAGGGTTGTCAACATCAATATTTATATTATCTACCTTACATTGTATAATAGTATAATATCCAGCTAGCAGTGTCTATACCTACATATCCGATCTAAACGGTAATCGTAATTATATAGGTAAAACTTTTACAACTTTGTTGTCGACGAAACACCAGATATAATCCTAACGTATTTTAATCTAACCAGTTGTGATATTTAATCTTTTAAACTCCTATGAGGCCCATCCGTCTATTCCTTTTAATTATAAAAGGGACCAAAACTATCTACCTATATAAAATCATATTACAAATGAACAAAATACATCGAATACCCGCAGGCTGCATCTATAGGTATTATACATATTATATACAGTTGCAGCTATATGACTGCCACACCGTAATAATACTAATAAATATAAATATTAAATATATAAATACAAATGCTTTGTAGTTACCTGGTCCGGGAGCCCGAAGTCGGCAAACTGCTGCTACACAGCCCTGCAGCAGATGATCGTCGCGTGGAGACGAAAATGCGAAGAAAATCGCCCGCAAAACTATTTCAGTGCAGCGTAAATGATAATACCCTGGGCGGCAGGTACAGCTGCAGTGTAGTTGTAACGTCGATATTATATCACCCGAAGTATCAGCTTCTTATATTATAATATTATATTGTTATTATCCTAAAAAATCGGATTTACCGGGCGTTACGTGTGCGCGTGCGCGTGCGGGCGCCGCAGAGTTTAATAATAATAGTAATAATGATAAATATTTGTATTCCGTAGGTGCGCGCGCGACCTCTCGAATCTGACTGGAGCGCGGCTGCACTGCCGAGACCTGATGACCGGACGGACGGGCGTACGGCGGACGGATGAGGCGGCGGAGTTATTCGCCGTCGGTGAGCAGCGGTCGTGGTCGGTCGGTCGGCGGCGGATCGTTGGCTGCCGACCGGCACGGGGTGGGGGTAAAACGGAAAAATGGCGTCGGCCGCCCGGGCGCCGCCCACCTGGGCGCGGTGGCGGCGGCGGCGTTGGGGTCCGCGCCGAGAAGGGGCGACCTCGCCAGCGCGCACGCACACCAATGGACGACGACCGGCGGTGGCGGTGGCGGCGGCAGTGGTTGAGACTGCGGCGGCGACTGCTTCGTGTGTGGTCTTTTAGCCGCCGCGGCGTTCTATTATACGTCCGTCCGTCCGTCGTAGCTGGCGTGTACACTCCACTCTCTCCGTCGCACACAACACTTGTACATAATAAATTGCGTAATATAAAAGAAAAAAATAACATCCGTCTCACTCGCCGCGTCGTCTCGCTCGCTCTCATAAGCATCATTATTATATATGTATACACATATTATAGTAGGTATAGTGAATACTATTCGGTCCTCTTGTCGTTTCGCCGCCGTCGCAGTTGCTATCTATTATAGTTATATTTATATATTATTATGTATAGGCATGTATTATAATGTAATAATATTATATTATTCTCCCCCGAGTATATATTAATATATATATATATTATTTGGAATCGCTTTTTGGATTTCTGTTTAATGTGTTCACCTCATTTACATAATATATATATCTATACACACACACTTAAGCTATATATTTCAGACTACGGCAATACACGACTGCACCACTGGTGTGCGCGATCACACAATATATAGGTAGGTAGGTATACACTTACAAACGATCGCCGACTTGCATTAACCGCATTGATACTCTGGTCCGCAACCGCCGCGCACACAAATGTATTACAAAAAAAAAAAAACCAGCACACATTGCACCGCCGTCGTCGCAATGTTGGTTATTATTTCTATTATTATACTCACACACACGCGCGCGAGCGAGCGTTTTTACATAAATTATATTGTTATGGGTAATGGGTATAATATGGGTACCTATATAATGCTCTGACGCTTATAGGATTGCAGCATAATGCATAGGTTAGGTTAGGTTATATCTTTAAGCTAGATATAGGACTATACATATACGTGATGTTATGCATGTGTATACTTATATAAATATTGGAACCTATAGGTACATACTACGAGGGCGGTGCAAACCACCTGTACCTTAATTCTATTTCGGATATAATAATAACATTAATGAGTGAATCACATATTCAGAAACTTATACCTATCTTCAATTCAAATCATAACAATTAAGCCTAAAATGTATTGGCATATCTATTAATAAAAATAAAATTTCATGAAAATCTATTTTGCTGTGCAACGAAATTAAAAGTTTTTAGAAATAAATAACGTACAAATAACTTATGTATAGTTATCTAACATTGGCCTTATTTTATCGACATATATATACAGCCTGTGTATTCAAAAACAAATTTTTTTTAAAAACATTTTTCCATCAATTGACGAAATTTGATTAAAAATACTGGACAATGAACTAAAAAAGGAAAATATGACCTAAACAATTAAAAATGTCAAAAAATGCAAAAAAAATGCAAAATAAAAGTTGCATAAATGGATTCGTAATTCCATAAGTCAAATTATGTACTTACAAAGGTACGTTTCACAATCACCAAAAACAAATGAACTTTCCTACAAATTCACAGCCTTACTCATAAGTATAACGTATATATATATACCTACTTTTAAAATAAAAAATGTATCTATATAGGTAATAACAAATATATATCTATTTTAAATATAGCTAGGTATTATAAGATACTTTTTCTGGTCATTTATTTTATAAAATGCCTGTAAGTACCTTAGGAACTTTATGTAGGTACGGCTAAACCGATCGCCAATTATTAACTTTTTACTGTAACACATATTCGGTAAGAACGGATATATAAATAAGCCTGTATGACGAAAAGCAAACCCGTAAATGATAGTTTTTTCAACACTGCGACTAGGTATATTCAAAGAAAATAACTTATTATGTCAGGTGATTGTTATCGCGATAACCATAATCATTAACCCTGTTCCTTATAGATTCCCGCTCAAATACCTACATTACCTACCACAGAATGCATACAACTACTAAATTGTTTTTGATATTTTGTAGTTAGAAATATAAACATACTTACATATACCTATTGATTAATTTAATGTATGTATTTTACTGTCAATTAGTCAAAATAAAGTTAGGTACACATATTATTTAAAGTCTCAATATAGCTGTCAATATTTTAACAATATAATATTAAATATATAGGTATATTTATAATTATAGGTAATAACTATAGTAAATTTAAAGTATAACTGTTTTCTATAAGTACCTATATTATTAGTATATATGTAGGTACTTACTGTTAATCTGAAACCACCTACCATGGGGTAAAATCGTTAATCGTTAATGTTTTGGAACTTTTTATATTTAATAGGATATACCATAATGTATTACAAAAATATCCAGATTGTTTAATAAAATCTAATAATAATAACATAATAACCTACCAAAAGTGGTACCCCGCAGGTGGGGCAAACCAGTATTTTTAAATATTTACAAAAATTGAATTCTTCATCATGCGTTATTGATATTTTTTTTTTGAATTTATGTATAGGTATAGGTAGTATAGACGTATAATAATGTATAGCTAACATAAGGTTCTTTAAATACATAATGTGTGCAATTAAATTAATTTTTAATTTTTATTTTTAAGGTCTTATTATAATGTAGGTATTTAGAAGTTAGTAGTTCAATTCTGCCTCGAGTCCTGACTATTCTCCTATAGCCATAAACCTAGGTTTATGTTATAACCAATAGATAATTATTAATTACTAATTAACTTTCTTTTTGATGACAAACTAAAAGTTATGATTTCTTTTTAATATTGAATTATAGGGTTATTTACTATAGGTAAATGTATGTAATACCTACGATTTATATAGTGGTATGCAAGTATATATTATACTATTTAAAATTACTATTTATAAACCGAGGTGTGAGATTTCTAAATAAATTCTTGCACACCACCATACGAGCTACCTAAAAAACCTAAACTGCCGAACTGCAGAATAGGCGGTTACCTACCTATATATAAAATAGTATATTTAATATAATAACGCTTGTAAAAGATGAAAAGTGCAGCTGCCACTCCATGATTCAGGTTAGTACCTATATACGTAGGTTTATATATATATTATATAAATTGGTATATATATAATCGTTAACTCAGTGGCTGCAACGCCTGCAGTCGATTAATAATGCAGCGCACTGCTTCTAGAGCGTGTACCTACTCGCATTTATATACCTATATTTATACCTACATATCTACCTACTATATTATATATACCTTCATAAATGATGGTTATAATAAATTAATACGAAAGTATAATAATGGCGACGTCAATCATCTATGTATTTAAGTTGCATAGTTAAAATATGCATGTATTATACCTAACTATACAAATATAATATATATAGGTAGGTCGTAGGTATAAAATTTACCAACACTGATTGGTGTACATATATTATGGTTACGGCTTGCTATATAAACGTATTATATAACATTTATATATATATACCTATAATATATATTTAACACCTACCAATAAATACACGCACGGTATCTATACTATATAATACCTAGGTATACACTAGCCATAAAAAATGTTATATATTTTTGATTTGAAACGAGCTAGGGTCATCACTCTTATTATATATTTATTTAATAAATATAGGTATCTACCTAAAAGCAGCCTATAAATTATAATATATTTATGTACACTTAGGTAGGTACTTGTAAATTACTATATGCTGGTTAAGTAGGTATTTAAAATAAAATTGGTACTGGTTCTGTCGTCTGCACCGTTTATTATTTCGAGATTTATATATAGGTATATAATTCCGTTTTTATAATATGTAGCCATGCAGGTATATATATTTAAGGTACAGTATACTATCTAAATCAGTGGCGTTATAAGTGGGGAGGAACATGTGGTACCGCTAAATTAAATGATTTTAATGTTTTGATTAATTGATAATTTTATTTTCAGTTCTTAGTCCTAATTGATACGGCGCAATATATAGGTAGGTACACAACATTTTTTAGGGTTTAGCGGTTGGCAGACAGGTAGGTAAATTTGATGAATAAATAAACAGCAGCAACATTAATAATTATAAACTAGGCTGAAGTAATTGGCCGGATTGGAATTCCTTTTGCAATAATCGCGATTATTACTATCAAACGATCGCAAATAGCTAAGGATAACAAAGTAAAGATCGAAAAAAACAGCTACACAACAACTGTACAATAATAACTTTCACAGAAAGACTATAATCTAAAAAACGTTCCTGAAAAGTTGTAAGAAGACAGTGCAGCTAAAGTTCAAAATCAGTTTTTCAAAAATACCAAGCCAAATGAATGTGATATCTATGAAAATTATTTTGCTCAAATCGTGGAACAACTAATTCAAGGTCTATCACAGAAAGAGAAAAACCCTTCAAGGCGTTCCTGAAAAAGTGTTTTCATAGTTTTTGGAATTTACGGCTCCCGGTGTTGTCATAACCCTAGTCACTCATGAGTTTTGTTTAAAGTCCATTATAATCTATTGAGAATATCTAATAGGCAGTTGTATAAATTCTATAACAATTTGTCAGTTGATACCTATATCTAATACTATATTGATAATGCGACTATACACACATATGCATAAATCGATAATAGGTATTCGTTTACCTTAGTACTACTGACAACGATCTATATAATAGATGGGTAGGTATTTACTATTTAGTATGTTTTTACAATCTCTCATCAGATACAGTGGTTGATCCATGTATACTATAATATTGACCACGTCTATTTAGACAATTTAGTCTTTTTTTTTTGCACCAACAGTCGGTCGCATTGCCTTTATTGTTCTGTATACAACCCAAGGAATGCATACCCTACTTAATAAAATACCATAATATTAAAGAT